AGAAAATTCAGTTTTGTGTATTTGAGGTTTTTTATAGTTAGCAGTGGTTCAAGTCTAGAAGTGTTTCTTGTAGAAACAAATTTATGTCTCTGAAACATGATTGAAGTGTTCCAGAATTATGAGGGGACTTTTGGCTGACACATGTGAACCATCATCACATGGATCAGTTGGAGGACAGGGAAAGTCACTGTGGTGGTGAAATATAAAAAAAGTCTGATATTAAAGTGAAACATTATTTTAAAGAAATAGAAGCAAGGAGAGAGGAGAATGAATAAGGACTGAAAAAACACAATTTCATAGAGGCTGGTAGAAAAGGTCAGAAGAAACCATGGGGAGAGTGAGAGAGATGGATGGCTGAGGGAGGAAGTGGAACGGCTCAGAGAAGGAAAAGGCAGAACATATGTGGAATAAATAAATGAAGGGAAGGTTAAGCTGTGGTGGTCAAGCGAACACAGATTAAAGGAAAAAAAAACGATGACCGCCTATTTTCGCTGCTCTGGCTGCTTTCCTTATTGTGCCCTCTTCTTTCTTTGAGTTTTAGTGAATTGTTACTTTTATACTTTATGTTACGGATGAAAAACATAGACAAAAATGTTGTATAAAACAAGATTAAAAAATAATTAAATGAATACAAAAACATTCATCTCTTGATGTTTTGACAACTATTTGGGCTTTTTATGCAAAACATAATTTGTTCATGTTTTTATTATTTGTTTTAAATATGATTGATAAGCTATTTGCTCATATGCATCCATGAGTCTATGCAAACCCAGGGCTTGATTGCATATTAGTCTTAGTAATTACAAAAAACAAGAGTCTATATGCTAATATTCAGCTACTTGTATACATGCTTTCATGTGAGTTGATGCATCTGACTGTAAATATGAGTTCTCATGCATGGATACATGCACTGAAACATGGTCGAGTGGAGTTTGGCAGAATCCATAAAGGGCAAGTCCACCGTAGCTGATCCAGTTACGTACAACGAGTTGAAAACGGAGCACTCTGAAATTGTTTTTAATCGGAGTTATCGGACCATTGCTTTAATTGCTGCTCAAGTCTGAGTTCACATCTCTGTGAGGGAACAGTGCCACAAAGAGCCATGGGAAATAAACAAATTCACTGAACATTTACAGATGTACATATATTTTTTATTCTGATACAGTGAGTGAAAGATAGAATCTAAGCTATGATTTACTGTTTCACATTTAAGACCATCTAACCAAAAAGCGGAAAAAATATGGAAATAATAATACAAAAAAAAAATAGTCTTAAATTGTTGTTTTTGAGCAATTGTTTGTGTAAAAATACACCAGAGCCAAAGAGTGAAGCTGGAATTTACACTGAAGAAAGAGGAAGCTTATTCTGCACACACAATGTGTTTACCTAGGGAGAAGTGGAGACTAAATAGCAACCTCTCAGCAGCACTGATGCCTGTAGAAAAAAAGAACAGTTAAACAATAAAGATGTGCTGATGTTTCCTTCACTGTGGAAGTTGTATAGTCGTAGAACCTGGTCAATATGAAAGAGTCATGCATTAAACTGGCTCAGTAGAAGAACAATAATCCCAAACAGCAAATCAGAGCAAGAAAAGAATGGCTGAAAACCTTAAGATTCAGTCTGCTGATATAAGTCAGTCATGACCTCTACCATTATGGAGACTTGATAACACTAAAAGGTTCTAAATACGTTTATTTTAGAGCAATTTTTAGAACTATAATATTTCTTGTAAGTCCAGTTCCTCAATTTTACTTATTTTCAAAAATGTTTCCGTTAGAGGTTTTTCTACTGCAGCAGAACACAAATTTACATTAAGAATTTATCCACTTGTGTACAAGGAATGAGAATAAGTATGGCGAACAGTGGTAGGTACAATTCTGCATGATGTGTAAGCAATTTCAATTCATCTTTCCTTTATTATTTCAGATGGTGTAACTTTTCATTTTTGCTCCCTCAAGCTGTTCATGTGCTTTCCTTGATCTTCAAACATCTACTAACCGACAGCTTTTAGAAATTCACTTTCAAAGCCCACACTAGAGCTTCCCCTTTCTTGATGTCTCTTGGATTGTCTGGCACCCACAATGCTCCTTACATCTGATCACACAGATCTCCATATGCCTCTTTCTCTTTTTGCTTTGTAGTTCCCTCACCAACCCTCCATTTGGCCGTCAACTTCAAGTATTATGATCTATGGCCCGAGTGTCTTTTCTTGCATCATATATTTTCAAAAGAGGATTCTAAAGAATATAATATCTCAGTCACCTTTGTCCTTCACTAAAGTTAATATGCATCTTTGCACTACTGCCTGGATCATTTATATGTCCTGTTCATTTCAGTTTTGGGTATCTACCAAAGTCTGCTATCCATTAACGCCTCTTCTGCTTCTCTGATGTGCTTCATTCATCTCTACTTCAAAACTTTTCCTCATTTTCTTGTATCCATCTGAATCTCCATCACTCTTGAGTATCTGGGGCCGTCATCTCTTCATTCCTCAAGACGATGGATGGTTTCCTCTAAAGATGACTCTGATCACAGCACAGCTTTCATTTCAGACTCCACACACATTTCATAATGTTCCATGTGAAAGCCATACACAAGCATCCCTGTTGTCTATCCACATCAAAGTCAAATTCCTGAGCAACAGTAACCACTTCAATTAACCTTTGAGGCTTTAGTGATTGACGTAATGGTATAAGGCCAATGAGCAGTGGGTCTTATTTTAGAGGCTTCATTAAACACTTTTAAATGAATTATGTCACAGCTCAATAACTTTTAACAATAATGTTTAGTGCAACAGTGCGTATCCAAAGACAAATATTGAACACATCCACTCCACAAGCAGTAATCAGTCATATGGTGCAATAATGAGGATAAACTGCTTACAAAAATAGCGTGGCTTTGTCAGTATAATTTTAAAACAGCCAAACCCACACATAAGGTTACCAGATCTCTGGATTCTTTCCTAAATGACACATTATTATAATGGAACTATGTTTGTTGTATTCAGCCTGGGAAGTATTATAATGGTATAATAAAGTATTATAATCACCTCCTTATTGTCTAGATATATTCTCCAGAGCCTTGCTAATGACCTAATTATTTTATTCAGGTGTGGTGGAGCAAAGTCACATCTAAAAGTTTCAGGGCAGTGGCCCTTCAGGACTGGAGTTTGACACCTGTGCTGTAGAGCAAGATGATGGTTTCAACCAAAGATCACCCAGTAGACATTAGGTTTACCACTTACTCATTTTTACACCACTGTATTCTAGTCTCAAATATTCATTGGAGTCATAAATACAATAAGAAATCTAATACAAAATAGTGGAAAAGAAAATTCCCAGACTGATGGAAAGGGCCATTCAAAGTCTAAAGTGATTTTCTAGAATTTGAAGATATTTACAGAAATAAAAACCCAGTTTTGTTTTTGTCAAAATGACATCCTCAAGTTTCTGCAGCTAATGATGTTTCTATTGAAAGATAATGATTGTTTTATTTTTTTACTCAACTACTTATCTTTTAAAATAAGAACAATCAGCTTCAACTTTGTTTTTTGAGATGAAAGCTGTAACTCTCTGTACTTTGGCACAAAAATAAATGCCTCTCTGGTCCAGTGTAAAAATATACAGAATTACCTTCAGGAAGCCACACTCACCACAGCTGAAATCAAGAACCTCAACCAGAAAGACATTCATCAACACATACCACAGACAAACAGGGGAGTTTGTATGTCGTCAAAACTATTTACGCAATTTCCAAATCACGTGTCATTGCCCAATCCAAATATTGATTTAAGGTTTCCCACGCATGTTTGGTTCATATATTGATTAATTAGCAGTATAGAGAAATAAAACTTGCACTGTTTTTCTTTTAATTTTCACTTTTCTTTCTGCAAAGAATTGAGTCTGAATAACTGCATGGAGCCCTTGTTAGCTGCAGTTAAGAGATTCCAGTGACTGTGGTGAAGAAAATAAAATTGTTATAGCTGTATGAGGAAAACCAAAAGTTACATTTAAAAATCAACCTTAAGCTTGATCAATTTCTTTAGAAACTAAATCAATCTTTGTCCCTGAGGTGAGAACATGTTCTGGTTCAAGGCTGCAGCATCACCAAGAAGAAAACCTATTAACACATTTCAAATACAGTACATTTACTTCTATTGTTGATCTTTGATAGGAGGAGGGACAACAATGCTAACTGAGGCCATATATTTGATGAAGTTCATGGCAAATTTAAAAGTGAAACAAATCAACTGCAGTGAAAAGCAACCTCACAATAATAAAATAAAATGACAACAGCAGTAATACTGAAAGAGACACAAATTAAAGAAGGTGTTGCAGGACATATGTATGGATTACTAGGATGTATAAATGGTCTACAATTCCTGCATATATGATTTCATTTGAGAGTTTGTAACCTTAGATCGCGGAACTACACCTTAGCAAACCATTGACATGCACCATAATAACACTACAAGGTTCGACCTTGGTGGAAAGAGCTTTCATCCCTGGAAGTCTATAGAGGACACATGTGTTTTTGCTATAAGGAACCCGTAGGGAAGTGAGCCCACAAAAATTACTCAAATAGAGTAACATACACCAAAGCAACTGAGAAATGATACCGGTGTTTCCAGGAATCAAACCAACAGCCATAATTGGAGTCATTTCACTAAAACTTTTCTCATAGGCATTTCTTTGGAAAATTGTTTTCTTTAAAAAAAAAGTCTTGGTTTAATTAACTTTGAGCATGATTTCTGAACATACATAGAAATATAAAGCTGGTTGCCATGTAATTCTACGGATACATTACTTTTTTACTTCATTTCACATTAAAACCATAAACTTCAATGCAATTTATTTTTAACCTGACTTTTCCCCTAAACCTAACTCTTAGCAACCATAAAAAGAATTAACACCTTAGTCCCAAACCCAAATCCTAACTCAAAAATAATGATGTAACAATGTAATAAATGCTAAAGCACACACACACACAGTAGTACTCACATGCTGCCACCTGTCATGAATGAGTGGCCGGTATCGAAGGAAGTACTTAAGAGGAAACGCGTCTATATCGGGCCATGTGGCGGGGCTGTGCCAGGACACCTCCAGCCTTCGAGGGTTTAAACGAATCGGGGATGCCGTCACACGCTCTGGGGGGTCCGGTTTTACTGAAAAAGGTGGATAAAAACAGTCAGTAAAAGGACATAGCAGTCAGTCAGTGATGAAGGTTCCATCTTCCATCTTCGTAGCTGGTAAATTACATTTTTTCCACACAACACTGATATATTTTAGACTGACATCTAGTTGGAAACAAACTAAGTAGAAAAAATGTAATTGAAAATCAATCACTATAAAGGTGTTTATGCTATAGGAACTCAAGTCTGAATGATAAAACTAATTTAAATGTTTGGAGGAAGTGTAATATAAAAGGCCATCAGACCTGATGAGAAGGCATGTAAAAAAAAGGGCTTCTTAAAAACTGTTCAATAAGAAAGCCCTGAATGAGATTGTGGCAATTCAATTTGGAGCGTTTCACACTATATTGAATGACCTCGATGTTGGTATATCACTCTCACTAGGGAGCCTACTGGCCTGCATCTTCAGCTACATGAAACCCTTTGCTCAAGTAAACACACAACTACACACACATCACAATGGGAAACAATAGCCACAATTATAATCTGAATGTCTCATAAAATAATCATGCATTAAAGCCATTTGTGTGAAATGCATACCATCATACACACAGAATGGTAAACAAGAAGCACACCAACACATTTAAAAAAGCAGCCGACAGGAAGGCGTAAACAGATAAAGTAGATAAGTAATTAAAGAAAAAGAATGTCAACAAAAGGGCCTTTTTAGTTGCACCCATTCAAAAATATGCATGATGACATGCAGTGTGGATTTGCAGTGTCTCGTGGAATATTGTTGAACAACTGACACAGAGATCTTTTACATTTGAAATCATTGTATGACTGGGTGGCAGCTAATTAGCATTCAGCAACAGAGAAAAAGGAGATAGTAAACATTATTCAGTAATAATTATTTATTCAGGGAAACAATGGTTGGGTGAGTGAGGACAGGAAGCTCAGGCAGGTTTCAAACATTTAAAGTAACTGTGAGGATAAAGTTTGTCAAGTGAGAAGAAACATTTTGGTATAGTGTTTTTTTAGATTTAGTTTTCTCTGTATAAAACATAAGTGTCTGCAGGTTGGGGTAGAAATATAACCAGTTTCACTTTGTGAATTAAATGTGAATTAAAAAGAGAAATGAAGAAGAGAGCATTTGACTGCTGACTGGTTTTATGCTAACATTTTAACATCCATTAACTTAAAATTACCTTTTAGTGCAAAACATCAATATGGGGTGAAAACTTACTGCAAACTGACTTACAGAGTTCAAGTGGTGTGACATAACGTTCTCAGACCAGTGTTCTGACATATAACTTTCTGCTTTGTAGCTAAATTATCACAAGTAAAACATGGATGGATTACGTTGAGAAAGGTAAGCACAACTGAAAGACAAAACCAGTAAACATTATAATAAAGGCCTTACTAAAGAATTATATTTGTTAGAAAATATGTAAGATAGAAAAGGAAAAGAAGTAGATGGATTTCACATAAGTAAGACGACACTAGAAAAATATTATATTTTGCTCCTTGTCCCACCAAATGGATAAAAGAAAATGCACATCAACAAAACAGATAAATCTGAGGATGGAGTGCCCAAAGGCTTTTAAAGTATCTATCCAACATTCAAAGAGAGAAAAAATGATATCTAGTCATTATACGAGTAAAAGAAAATCTTTATTTTGTTATTCGAAAACCTCTTAAAAATAGTTCCTTTGAAGGAACAATACAGCATCTGGAACACACTAAAAACAAGAAAAAGCATATTGTGGAGATTCAATAGCCATGATAAAAAAAAAAAAAAAAACAAAAAAACAAACTCCTAATGATTATACAAATATTAAAAGAAGGAAAACAAGGAACTTGATAAATTTGAGTGCAGATGTATTTGTGCATATGTGGATTTGGCTGTATAGACTTTACTTTCATTGCTATTATCCTGTCATGCCGGCCCTCTGTTGTTTGTTAATGAGATGCCTTGAAATGTGTGCTGTGATAAAAATCTGAGAGCTATGTGTGACATACATTATCTGAGAACAGAAGAAAGGAAACTAAAGAAAAGCTGCCTTCATTATAGAAAAAGTTTCAATGTTCTGCTGAAGCTGAACAAATTTGTTTCTCTAAAAGCTAATTCTTTATGCACTTACTTTTACAAGAGTGAAGCATCTGAGAACAGTATTCATCCACTTTTTTTTACACCATTATAGGCTCATCCTAATAAAAAGGCTTTCAGAAAATCTGGACACTGATGCACCAGATGATGGATTCTCACGCAGTACTCTGACAAACAATAAAGAGGAAGCAAGTCAGTGTGCTTTGGTTTCCCGTGAAATTTTTCAAAAATCACTTTATAAAAGGAAATGGAACAGAAAAAAAGCATTTGTTGCTGACTCTATTGAAACCAGTCCTGTGAAAATGCAGCACACCCATTCATTCACAGACAAATCAAGCCAAGCTGTTTTCTAGTGTCAAAACTGTCCAACACACAGTGAGACATTATTAAATTAAGTAAATGATAGTATAGAAACTATTAAAATTGATTAAAGCATAGCCTTCTATTTTAAGGAACAAAACAACTTATCACACCAGAAAGTTTGTCAAACAGTAATTATTCTGCTTTACAGCAAATTAGACAGATTTGTCTTTTCCAAATGTACAGTTCCAGTGATTGTTTTACAAAGTCTCAGAAAAGACATTTAAAATTTAGTTTTTTGGTTTTTTTTCTTTTACTTTTCAACAAAAGATTTAGATGTTTTTATGTAATGCAGATATTCGCCAATGTCAAAGGTAGAAACAAATGCTCAAATGTTTACAGACAAGTTGCAACCTTGATCAAATTTCTGCAAGATTCCATCATTGTTTTTGGCTGAATTTTTATTGACACAACTCTTTGGAATGCTTTCTATTTTTTATTTTTTTGGTATAAACATGACTTTTAAGTAATGTCCACAGTATTTTCAAAACCTTGAGGCCAGTATGTTGGGAAAGCCATTCCTGAAGTTGAAAGTTAATTTGCCTTATATACTTATATATTAGTAGAACCAGTAAAAAGGATCATTCTATTGGGAATATCCAGTTGAGCACAACGTTCAATCACCTACCTGTTTCAGGTAAAGTTGAAACGCTGGTAAGTAGTATTTCATTTTGAATATTCTATCCTGTGTGCATTTGCATTTAGTCAGCTCCATGTTTGTTTGCACAGTGCTCTTGAAATGTTCACCTTGAATCCTTCACACCAGCTTCCCCTAAATGTAATTTCGAGCAATTAACCCCGACCCTTTCCATTGCTCATTTTCCCTTTTTGTAAATATTTGTTGAGTATGTTGAAAAGCTGAGTTTGAGCCAGAAAACCAATTAAAATGAGCTTGACCAATCCTGCAAAAATACCAGTGGTGCATGTCCATCCAGAATTATGCAAGAATGTTTTGAAAGGAGGTTTACAAGAGCACTTGAAGCTTTTACATCTTTTCATTCATTTACATTAATACGGTCACTTATTGATATATTATTTAGAACCTACAGACATAATATTAGTTAACTAGGCTAGGGATTCTATAAGCGTTAAAAGTTGTGACTGAATCCACACCAAGCACATGCATGGACACACACATCTCCTCTCATCTAATTTTATCCGACTCTGGTTGGATGAACAGGGACAGTTGAGGAACATTTTCCTTCCACTCAGAATTGAGAAGTGCACAGGGAAGCATAAAATTGCTTTATTTATTTACGATCTGCCTCGTTGTCCCTGAAAATGAATGCCAGAATTAAAGTTAGAATAGCAAAGAAAGACTCTTAGCCAAGCAGGAATGAAGTACAGATGGAGTAAAGAGAGACGGCATTTTAGTTTAGTGCAAGAGGAAAATGTCTTTTCAAAAACACATTTTATATATATGCAAAATATTTAGCGCAGAAAGTGGAGTGAATAATAAAATTGCTATTGATCTTTAACTTGGTTTTTGTTACTGAACATTTTTATTGTGTGAGGTGAAACAAAAGGAGAACAGTTATAGAAAGTAAATTAATTAAAAAATGTCAATCTTTTGAGTCTTACAAAAAATAATGGGTTACATAATTGTTTTTAGATTAAAAACAATTATACAAGAATGATTTTTGGCAAATTTACAAAACTTCACAAGCATAAATGACTTCATAATAGAAGTCATTTATTTGTTCAGCAAAAAATGCAGATCAAAATCTTTGAGTGACAAACCTTTTTAGTCATTAACTGCATGGAGCAGTGAATGCTGGCCAGACATGCTAGCTGGTTGGAAGGACTTCCAGTTCACACTTCTGCACAAATAAGCTCTAATCCTCAAGTGCTGTTGGCTCTGTGGTTTTCATTTTATTATTTTATTCCCTTTCTCTTGGGATGTCCTGACATTTATCTCTGCCTAATCCACTGGTAGAATTTCATTTATTATTTTAATAATGCTGAGTATGTGTCCTGGCTGGGACTGTTATCTAATTTTAGCAATCACTTTCACAGGTTGTGTCAGGTGCTAGTGCAACAATATACATATTTGTTAATGTTTTGTATGATTATCAAGATTAATGTGTTTTAATATGTACCTGTATAACACTATGGTGTATCTTGCTTGCTTTTTCTGTGATCTTGGGTATAAGATCACAGAAGTAAATAAAGTTACACCCTCACTTTTTATCCATCTGTAGCTGTACCATATATATTGTGCATAGAAGACATAACTTTCAGTCTAAGATGGCCTGAAAAAAGTATTTAGAATGGAAAAAGAAGGACTTGGACAATGTTACTTTCATAAGTCGAGAGCTTACAAGAATTGAAAGCAGGGTTTCATCTCTCTGCTCTCAAAACTTGTAATGCTTGCATGCAAAACTTTTGCTGTCTTTCAAAGATGTAATTTTCTTTTTTTTTTCTGTTTTAATCCTACATCCTTTTACTTCTAATTGTTCAGCATAAATTCAACGTATTTTTACATCACAAAAACCAAAAGTTTTTCTTAATAATACAATGTATTTAACTGCACTGCATTTTCTGTTTTAAAGAGGTGAACGATAACCTGCTGATGTTTTGAGATCACATTTAACCAGAAAAAAAAAAAAAAAAACATTCATTTCAAAAGGCTTGAGAAAAAAAAAGAAAAAGAAAAGCACCACCTTGTTTTCCTTCTCATTGTAATGTACATGATTTGGCTCATGATGAAAGACAGAGAGCAAACAAAGGAGGGAGATGAAGGGGCTGGGGGTAGAAAATGAATGTGACGTTCCAAAAAAGTGGATACAACAGGGAAAGTGAAAGCAGATGGAATGAAAAGGAGTGGTGGGGTATTTTGATATCTCCAAAAGGGATATTTCCTCAGCCAGCGCGCTAATCCGGCTACCATTAGCATTTTCATGAGTCTCATGTCTAGAGGTTGGCAGAGCATGTCACTCCTTCATTCGGTTACTTGTATACACACCCACCCACACAGATAAAACACAAACTTTCTCTTTCTAAATACCAAATGTTTTTAACCGAGGTACACAATCTTAGGGCCCTGTTGCTGCCTTTGTGCATGTTTATGCGTCATGCAAGCCGGTGCCATGCTGGCAGTGCAACAGGGGGAGGACTGCTCATAGCACTTATCCTTATCTATCAAAGTTTCCCCCTAGTCATCCCTTAAAATGAATTTCTCCCCTTCACTGCTTTTCCCTTTAGAGTTGCTGATGAATTCTGTAACTGCTGTTATTATGTGATGTTCAGGACAAATTTCTCCCCATCAAACCTGCACTTCTTTAAAGAACATGTAAAAAAAAATAACTCAATGAACGAACTGACGCTTAGGTTTATAAAATATGCTGGAATAGCAGTGGAATATTGATTTGCGATTCATTTGAATTAAAGCAATTTAAGGCAGCACAAATGGCTGAAACTATGATGCTTTATTATCTGGTGTTGTCAATAATCACATGGGAGAACATCAGGTGATTGGCTCCTCAGACGGAATAAAAAAAAAAAAAATCGTCCAGCATTCTCCTGAAGTTGTTTGACATTTATTTGCAGAGTGCATTTTCAATTCCCTTTGCCTCTCTGGCACCAACAATTGCTGTATGCGCAACAAAACTCCAAAGGGAACTGGTAGTGTCAGAAAATCAGTTATCTGTGGTCAAACGACTGCATTATTATGTTTTGAGTGTTGGCATCCTCAAAGGGTCACTTCGACACACTTTTTTTTTCTTTTATTCATTTGCCAGAAACCTGTCAGCAATGGAAAAAAGATGCTGGGTCTGTCCCTGAACTAAGCTTCAAAAAACAAACAAACAAAAAAAAAATCTACTGCAGAGTGGGAGAGTAATTTAAAAATGTCAGTTTTCTCTAAACCCCTTAAGCGCAGAACCCAAATTGAAGCATTTAATTTTCAACGAAACTTCATCAGAAAATATAAGTGACACCCAAGCCCTGCAGTGCTAAAGTGGTGTGATTAATTTCCTGCCAAGCTTGTGCTTTAGTCACCTTTAGACACAACTGGTTTAAAAGCAGAGGAAAACTCTAGCTGCATGGAATGTACACTAAATGAGAAACAGGAGAAAACATCCATCTTACCTATAGTGGACTCCTCAAAGGACAGGGTAGTGGAGGCTTTTCCTAAGGCGTTTACCGCTGTCACATTAACTTTGTATGGGCTGCTGGAGAAGACCTCTGGGAACTGTACATGACAGCGATTCTTGTGGACGGGATCTTTCTGCACATAGAGTGAGTGCTGGTTGTGTCTGAGGAGGAAAATTAAATGATAAGGTAAGGGGGAGGTGGCTGAGGGAGGTGAAGGTTGCAAGTGAAGAGAAGTTTTTGACTTATCCATCAAAGTTAGGATTTAATTTACATGAGACTGTTGATACCATAGTGCTTATTTCTTATTAATGGATATATGCTGAGCAATCAGCAGTCGACAGGAGTTAGTGGAATTTCAAATCGACCCAAAACCTAAATATGAAATATTTTTCCAATTCTTAAACTCTATGAACCTTTGACAACAAAATTATAAAGAAATAATGTAAAAAAAAAATAATAATAAATAAAAAAAATCATCACTTTTTGCTGTTAAAATTGCAGAAAGCAATACAAGGTTCCATGAGACTGAAGAACACATCCACTTCCATATCGATTGCAATGTTTTCAATTAGTTGTGGTAATAATGTCACACCTGAAATTTGCAAGGTGCTAACATTATGGTGCTAACCATTATTATCACAACACAGAACTAACAATTAATATCTTACACATTCAAACAATAAAGGGACATATTGACAAATAAACAAAACTCTGAACAAAGGAGAAGAAGGTCTCAGAGGTCCTAAGAAATTGCAAATAACTGCAACTTTTACTATGTGTTATGTGTGTATATGGTAAATATTTGGTACTGAACTTCAGTGTTCATACATATTTTACACATTATTCATTGTTATCTTGGTCCTGAATCATGTTTGGGCTCATTTACTCTTACAAATTATGATCCAAATAAAAAGAAAATAACAGATAGTTGTTGGAGTCATTTAACCACATTTTCGTACAGCATAATAGATTGTATGCATGGTCGATAAGAAATGTTCTTCAGAGCATAGAGATGTCATTATGGTATGACTAGAACTGGAAATGTATGAAAAAAAAAAAAAAAAAAAAAAAAATACAAGAGGCCTGAATTGCTAATGGGTCGCTGTTACCCCATTATTCAAACTATGCAGTAAAATAAGATGCTACATAATCATTTAGTTTTTAGAGAACCACTGATTTATAGCAACTGCTGCATCACAAACACAATGTGATGTCAGTTCTGGTAGAATGACATTCAAAAAGCCAGGTAGAATGGAAAATGAACATGTATGCTGTCAATTATAGTTTTTAAAGAAAACCCTAAATCAGTTAAAATGAACATTGTCAACATTGTCAGCTCAAAGCCATATGACAAAGCAGGGTTAGAGATGTGCCACAGATCTCAATCCATTGCCTTTATGCTTTGTGGTTTTTTTCTCTTAATGAACGTTCTTATTTACTGCTCTGCATATGCATCTTCACTTTGACATTTGCCTGCAGGCTGAAGCCTGTTAAACCTCCCACACATTTGAAGTAAGCAGATCTACATTCCTTCAAGATCACCGAGTCAACAGTGAATCATAATGGAACACTTCATTTACTGCAGATAAAAGCCAGATGCCAGCGCCTAACATCAGAGTTACGAGTGACAGTTAAAGTTCTGCTTTGGATTACAAATAGCCAGCTTGGAAGAACGCAGAGCTGATAAAGCATCACCTTAGTAGTTGCATGCCACGCTGTTGGATTAAAAACCAACATAGTTTTACTATCACATTAACGGCTAATGTTTTTTTAATCATTATTATTATTATTATTATTTACCTGTCTTTCTTGTCCTAGTTACATTTTTAGCAGAATAATGGTGTGGTATTCATGACACAAGAATCCAGTTGGTGCTCTAGAATCGGAAATCCTATAAAAATAATTCTGCTGTTCTGGTCATATTTAATAACCCGTTCTGGTTATATTAAATAACCAGAACAACATACAATTTCAGATATATTTTTGTTGTTTTATGTATTACTTATTTATGAAAAAGTGAATGAAAATGAATTAGACCTACTGAACATCCACTTCAAAGCTGGAGGGTATGTACGTCGGATGCGTCAGGTGCCAGCTGCAGTAGAAACCTTTAGGGTAGGTGTTGGACCGACAGGTGACTTTGGGCTCCTGAGGGGGAACTACGCAAAGCAGAAACAAAGGAGGACAGGAAAAGGTTAACAGAAAATACATTTTTAAACAATAGGCACAATTTGAGGCATGTGAGGAGGAAAAAAAAAACAGCAGCAGAAGAGATCTAATCGAAAATACATTTATCAAATACAAAGCAGCTATGGCTAATTAAACATTACTTTATTGCATAATTCATTCTTTGATCTAATTTTTTTAAATTGAAAATGCCACAGATTCTTAGCTTGAATAAAGCTGTGTCTTTGGTATATGTTATTAGAGACGCTTTCACTTCATTTAACTTCCAATGCTGGCACATTTCCTTGTACTATGCATTCATTTTTAATATCAAATCAATAAAATTTTTATGAGGATGTTGATGAAAGAAAGAAAAAGCTTTATCGTGTGCCTAATTAAAATTTATATGTGCAGTCTCCAATCCTTTTACAGTTCCATATAATTTCTATACACCTTAAGCTCACAAATATAAATTGTTTTGAAGAAGCCTGTTTGTTTTGTCATTATCTGTGAGTGTGCAGAAAGTATTCTGTTATGCTTTTTTATTTCAGTATTAAAGCAGCTTTATGATTTTGGACTTACAGAGAAACTTTATTTATCTTAAATTATTTTGCAATAACTATTTCATTAAGATGCTGGATGTATTGTAAAGTGACATAATCCGCTGTGCAGCTGCTGCAAAAATCGTTACAACAATATGTCATACTTAACACTAATTTGACAACAACATAAATTTTAAGGGGGATTTTGAAGAGACAGGGAGAATAACTCAAAGTTGAAAATGTAAGGGTTCTGTACGTACATGTAGAGAATGGAGGATAATCAATCTGATAAATCCATAATTGCTGCAATGTTTTGCCTAAATTTGTTTAACAAATGTCCCACAACCAATTATCCCCATTTTGTTCATTAGTACTCTAATATATTTACTCAACAAAGAAGCAGGAGTTGTGCTTGATCGAGCTATTTGTGGCACTTACTGAAAACAGCCCCTTCTAGTTACTCTTGGACAAACACACACTTACAACACACATCCACACATAAAAGGTTTGCTTAATTGGCTGCTATGGGGTCATTTGACTGTCGCACACAATCAACTGTGTTTTAGCGGTCACCACAGCAACTAATTAGCCTGTCAATAATAGATAATAATGGATACTGGGGACGGTATCCAATCGCGCTCAATTAATCACAGAGACTAATTGGGGCCATCTCAATCAATTGGCTTTTCATCTGAGAGCTTCAGTCAAAGTCACACTGTCACACACAAGAATATCACCGCAGACAATTACTGTCAGAGTGTGGCAACACATACACTGCTCCTTCAGGCTCTATAGACTTAGTGGCAATCAGTCAAACCATCTTATTATCTTTTGAGAAAAGAAAAGCAATGAATGACTGGTTAAGAAATTATTAACAGCAATGAGGTCAAGAAAACCAAAAGGAAAAAAAAAAGAGTGCATATTTATGTTCAGAAAATAACCATGTTTATTTTGATTTCCGAACACTTGCATTTTATTGTGTTGAATCTGTTAATTTTTTGCTGCAAAAGAGCTGCCTAAATACCCCTGAGGATTTTGAATTATTCTTCTGATCAAGATAAAGCAAGCAGAATAAAGGATGAGGGAGGATGTGATCAAATGAACACAATGTGACACAAAATGTTTGCTGCCACCATTAGCGTCAAAGGTTGGATGATAACATTGGTTGCAGCAAGTATTGCAGTCCTGCTTAAAAAAATAATGCAGTATAAAGAAAACAACCTATAAAAGGGAATATTTCCAAACTAGCATCAGCACTGCAGCAAAACAAAGTTGGATCAAGTAGCAATTTATTACTTCTATGAAATATTATGTTATTTGTATTGAGCTAATTCACAACAAATGTCATCTCAAGACACTTTGCCAAAAGTAATAATAATTTCAATTCAATTACACTGTTGATCCTAGTTACCAAACAGTACAGTGTCCTCAATTAATTATTCAAAGTAGTTTAAAAAGTTTCTATCTAAGCAAATCTAACCAACTACATTATGTTTCTCTAAACAGAAAAAAACAACAACAACAAAAAAAACCAGACATTTCTTCCCATGTTTAAGGATCTTTCACAGTGGAAATCAACAGTTGGAAATTTTGGTAGCTGAATCTTGCATTATTCTCATTTATTAGTAGCTATTATTTCTCATTTATTAGTAACAGCTTTTTAAAAGACGAAATCTGTAAAAAAGCCAGAAGAGAAAACTTGACAGAAGTAGTGACCCACTGAGTGAAGGGATGCTCTTCCTGGATAAGTTATACTGTGTTGTGCCTACCTGTTTTTTCAATACCTAATTGGGTACATCATTTTAATAGTGGAGCACAAATAAAGATGACTTGTTGGATCTCAAAGGGTTTATCATAATGGAAAAACAGGGCTTTTAAGTTATTTTAAGTGACATGTGATGGGTTTTAGTGCCAGATGAGCTGGTCCGAGTACATCAGAAACTACAGATCTGAATCTATTTTCTCTCACAACCCTTAGATATACACAGGATGGCCTGGAAACATATGCAGTGGGCAGCAGTTTTTTGGATAAAAATGCCTTTTTTGATCTCAATGGTCAAAGGAGATAAGTGGTTCATGATGCTGAAAGATAACAGTAACCCCTTTAACCATTATGTACAACCACAAACGCTAAGAACAAAAAAGCAAAGAACCTAGATGACACTTCAACAAACTGGACAGTAGTTGATTAGGAAAAACATTGTCTACTCAGGGAAATTTTCTTTTCAGCTTTGAGATACAGATGACATCTTCAAGGTTTGGTGCAAGCAACATGAACAAATTGGCCATTTGGCTTTGTTTCAGCAGTTATACTGTTGGTGGTTATGGATAATGGACACACGAGTCATTTAACTTGTTAATACCAAGGTACCTAATAAAGTGGCTTTGTGCATAATGAAAATGGTTAATATTCTTTGAATTCTTGAGCTATTTTCCAACATACAAGGGTGGTAAATGAAACTGCCAAACTAATGCAAGAAAAGTAAAGTAAGAGAATTTTAAACAGAGGAGAAAACATAGGAATATTAAGAACTGAAACCTGAGAGCAAAATAAAAGTTGGGGAAAAACCAGACACAAAGTAAAGCATATCTGGAAAGATAAAAGGAAAAGGGGACAGAGCCAAAACAAGCATTTTCTTCAAATAAGACAAATGTACTTTCAAAAGTTTTTTTTTTTTTTTTTTTTGAAAGTACATTGCCTGGATATGCACAAAAACTTGCCACAAAAATGCTTCAGTTACTTGAAAATATCAAAAGCTGTCCACATACACAGGGAAAATAGATACTAAACAGAGAGCTGGAAACAACAAGGGATAACACACCAGCTGAAAAAAAACCAAGAGAACAAAGACAACATGAATATTAAAGCCCATGAAACAATAATTCAAATTAAAATTACATAGTGCAGGTTTCGATCTCTTTTGTGAACCGGGCTGACATATTACCTGAATCAATGGCACACAGGACACCGCTCATGAATAAATGTTATTTGAATTAGCCTACTTTTATCATCTGGTTTGAATTGCCGTATCAAATAGGATTGTGAAGATGTTTTTTGTTAGCCTCATGAAACCTACACCTGCACGTGTGCACGTGTGCACACGCACAAGAGGCTGTTCGGGTTACTTTTAAGTGGTAATAGGTTACAGACTGTGGCTCATAAATGATAATAAGGCTTAAAAAGATGGGGGAAGGTGGAACGGGAACATATGCATGCAAATCTGTTCACATCGTTTTTAAATTGGTAGCTATGTCAATTTTTTATTAATAAGTGTAATATAAAATAAAACTGTAACATGAACACCTGAAATTCTGTTTCAGTTTTGCTTTAGTTTGAATATTGTCCACCTATTTTGCAAATTGTCACATAGATAGGAGATTAAACCTAGCAAAGATCAGTGCAGGGATTTTATTGATTGCACTTTACGGGATTGTTGCTTTTCCAATTTTCCTATTCCTGAGGCTCAAATTAGGGAATGTTTTAGAAATGGGAGACTCAAACCATAAGATATTGACAATGTTCCCCTAATAAACTTCTCATGATCTCTTTATTTGTAGCTTCTAAGTAACCAGACGTTCTTGTAATCTTTGGCAAATGTCCTGACCGATAGTTCCCCTGGCTATTTAAAAGTAGTTTAACATTACAGTGTTGACACAACATTGTTTTTCTTTCTTTGAGTCGTCAGACTTTTCTAGTAGCAATAATTCATAGGTCATAGCTGGGGAAATGAAAATTAAACACTTTCAGAAGTTCATCGAGATTCTTTCCAAGAAAAATACAGTGGAAGGAAAGTATTAATAAATCACTTTTTTTCCACTCAAAGCAGAAATATTATCTCGTGTCTTTAAATATGTTGTCTCTCCAGTGTTTGCATAAGAATTTATACCCTTTGAAACTGTTTTACTCCAATTTTTCACAAAGTTGTTTATACATTTAAAGTAAAAGGAAAGTGATGTGATTTTATTTTATTTTATTTTTTTTTGCAACTGAAAAAAAAAAAATACATGTATTCAACAAGAAGGGGTTGAGTACATGTATTCCACTAAATACATTGCAGTTCAAGGTTAGGACTTGACAAAATATCAAAAAGACCAAGGAATATCTTTGCAAGGCATGTCTATTTTGTTTTAAATAAGAGAAGGGCTTTTAGATACATCCTCTCCTCCCTAAATGAGCATACATTTTAAACAACCAGACATGTTGAACACATAATAGGAACAAGGAACAACATTTACTGAAGCCGGAGAATAACACAGACGTTCTTCGAATACACAGATTACATTGTGTGATCAAAGTCAGGCTGTAATTAACCTCAGAGGAATGTATTTTTTCTCCCCTCCCTTTACGTAATAACATCAGCTTCTTATCATTCTCTCTTTCTTTCCAAACTTTATCTTCCTCTCTGTTATTAATCCAAACCTTTCAGACAAAAATCCCAAATCTTGGTGTA